CAGAATAATAACTAAAAGCCTTACATTAGCTAAAGGCTAGCTAAAAGTTTGGATAAGAAGAATAATAACTAAAAGCCTTACATTAGCTAAAGGCTAGCTAAAAGTTTGGATTAACAGAATAATAACTAAAAGCCTTACATTAGCTAAAGGCTAGCTAAAAGTTTGGATTAGCAGAATAATAACTAACAGTCTTACATTAGCTAAAGGCTAGCTAAAAGTTTGGATTAGCAGAATAATAACTAAAAGCCTTAAATTAGCTAAAGGCTAGCTAAAATTTGAATTTGAATAATTAAAAGCCTTAAATTAGCTAAAGGCTAGGTAAAAGTTTGAATTATCAAAATAAGAACTAAAAGCCTTATCTAAAAGTTTGAATTAGAATAAAAATTAAAAGCCTTATATTAGCTAAAGGCTAGCCACTGCCTACTCTAAGACGTTTGTCTGAACCTCAGACATGAAAGGCAACATCTCCTCTCCCTCAGAGCGCCGATTCCAGCTCGAAGCAGAAGAGTGATGTCATCGCTCGGCTGGAGGAGAAGATCAACCAGATGTCAGGAACCATCAAACACCTGGAGACCAGGTGAGGTCTTTTTACACCTCAGTTTACGCTGCCATGGAAACCTCCACTGACTCCAACCTTTCGCTGTTTATCTCCCTCCACCTCCATCATCTTTCCGTTCCTCATCACTTCCTGTTTGTTGTTTTTGTTTGTTTCCTGGATCAGTGACAAACGTCTGGTGAAGCAGGCCAGAACCCTGAGCTCAGCAGCGGAGAAGCTGCTGCAGCCGCAGCTGCAGTAGCTCTCTCATCCAGTCAGAGTCAAACTAAGATGTTTTCTGTTGCCCCTCCTCCTTCCAGAAGCTCCCGCAGCAGCTTCAGCTTTTAGTGTGGACTGAACCGAGCCTTTAGCTGCCGCCGGTACTTATCGGCTGTGTCCCTGTCGTCAGATTGATTGATTTATTTACGTCTTGTTTCAGAGCAGGAGGCTGAAGGTTGACTCATCTTGTTTTCAGCAGAAACTCAGCAGGTCTTTAGAACTGGTTCATTAAGTTAGTCTTCATTTATTGATCCACCGCAGAAGTCAAAGGTCAGAGCAGGAAGTGAGAATAGAGACGAGCTGCTTTATTAATTTTCAGTGTGTGATCATAACGTTGCTGTAAACTGTAGTTCTTCATTAGGCTGATAATAAAAGAATAAACCAAACACAACCTGCTTCATCTTCTGTCCTCTTTAAACCTTTAGCTGTTTTTCTTTTGTTAATTTTAGCTGCGGTTTGTTTTCGCCCACTTTTTGTTTTTCCATGAGTTTATTTAACCCGATCGCCCCAAATCCAGATGCAAACAGGCGGAGAGAGAGCGAGACCTGGCTTCAGAGGCCAACCGGCTCTTCAAACACGAGTTCGGAGACAAGATCGAGAGTCTGCAGGTGGAGGTGGAGCATCTGCACAAACACAGGTAAACAACAGGTAGACAACAGGAAGACACAGGTAAACAGCAGGTAAACAGCAGGTATACACAGGTAAACAGCAGGTAGACAACAGGAAGACACAGGTAAACAACAGGTAAACAACAGGTAAACAGCAGGTAGACAACAGGAAGACACAGGTAAACAACAGGTAAACAACAGGTAAACAGCAGGTAGACAACAGGAAGACACAGGTAAACAACAGGTA